TCCTGGCAGCAGTTCCCTCACGTTAAAGCAAAAGCATAAAATAACATGTTTGATGGGATTTGAAGATGTTCCCTCTTAGATTACTGATTTCTGGGAACAATCTTGAGTTTTACAGGCTGAACTGGCTGAAACTTCCAGTCAAACTGAAGTGGAATCTAAAGAAGAGAAAAGAAATGGATGTAACATCAGGGACAGGACAAAAAAGTAGCATCATAGTCTGAATGTGGAGGAGTGTTGCTCTTACCATGGTCTCTTTGCACGTTTCCAAAGTGTACTTCTGCAAGAGACGGACAATAATCATCTTCATGACGAGGAGGGCGTAGCGCATCCCAACGCAGTTACGAGGGCCGAGTCCAAACGGCATGTACGCATATGGGTTCACCTCCTCCCCGCTGTCTTTACTGAACCTGCAGATACAGATCAAATAAGCCTTTAAAAATCATGGAGTTACTACGTAAAAGGAAAAGGCTCTGCATGCTGTTACAGAGGATGCAGTTAATCTAGCTACTCGAAACAGTAGCAAAAAATCCTCTGTTGAATTCTTTTTTTTTTTTACATTAATTTCAGGTGTAGTATTCAGTAGGAATATTTGTAGTTTTAACTTCAGTGCTCTAACACAAAAACGAATACTGTTAACCCTCTACAGCACAGCGTGGCCCCTGGACTACAGAAAGGTTTTGGGTGTCTATAATGAGATAAGATTCGGCGTCTCCTAAATCACATCCTGATGAAGCTTTAACACAGTCTTAAGACACCACTGGATAAGTCTCTGGCTATCCTTGACTAAAAGTAAAGGGACCTAAAACTTCTCATGAAGTCTGCTCGAGAGGATCTGTCAGGATAAATGGGATGAATGACCCAAAATCCATGTGTGGAACCTGCTGCCAAAGGGACTGTTGCAAACTATCCAATTAAGAGAACCTGAGTGTTACAAATGAGAGATTCAAGTTTTTGATTTTCATTAAATTTTCAAAAATGTCAAAATGTCATCACTTCATTACTTGAAATATTAAGAATAAACTGATGGGAACTATAATTTGTATATATTTAAATAGAAGGAATTATGCAAATACACAGAAATCTAAAAAAGATGAAAAGAAATTGAATCTTTTTATAAATGTATTTAAAATAAATCTATAACTAATTTCGATACAGCCTTGCTTTGTCTTGTTGTGATGATTGTGTAGATGTCTTTGAGTCACTTCTTGTCAGAAAACCCAACGGTATTTCAGCATCTATGTCAGATTTGTTTGTAAGGTTTACAAAGACAAAGTGATATGAGTGGCTTAGTATATAGAAATAAACCTTGTAAAGCACCCTTTCTTTAGTAATAGTTTCCAAGATTTAACCAAGATTGATTCTTGATAAGATTGCAGATTTACCTCTCTGGTCTGAAAAGCTCAGGTGAGTTCCAGTAGCGTGGGTCTTTGTGCAACAGCCACACAGGAATCCCAATTACGGTTCCTTCAGGGATGGTGAGGCCATGCACTTGCACAGTTTTTTTGCATGTCCTGTCGAGCCGAGGGCCAGTGGGAATCAAACGCAATGACTCGAGTATAACATGGTCCAGGTATTGCAGGTCGGTCAGCTCCTCATAAGAAATGGGTGCCTAGGCAAAATATGAAAACACACAATCACAAAAAAGGAAAATGTGATAAGACTGTCTGCTACGGTAACAAGACAAATTATGTGAGAAATTACTGTACATCTTTCTTCAGCTTAGCATCAATTTCTTTGTGTAAGGTCTGCAACGCATCAGGGTTGGTGGCCAGATTATAAAGCATGTATGTAAGAGTGGTACTGGTGGTCTCATAGCCTCCCAAGATAAAGACCAAGGCCTGGGAAAGGATCTCATGTTCAGTCAAACCTATCAAAAAGAGAAAAATCCTTGTCAGTTTCAGAATCATATTCAAAGCTAGTGTAGTCCTAATGTAATAACTGACTGGTATTGGTTAAACACTGATTTAAAGTCCAACCTTCCTGGTGTACATTTTTGATACTCATAGCCAGCCTGGCTGTCTCTAAATATTTGCAGGGATGTTATAGGGATATAATATCCCTGTTTATGGATTACCTCTCTGGTAAAAACATACCTTTATTTGGCTGCTCTTCATCATTCTTATACTCCTTTTTTGGGATCTCACTCTGAATTAACACCTGCAGGAAGTCTGCTCGGGCCTAGACCAAAAAGACAACATTCAGTATCAGCAACAAATGCAAACTTGCTCAAAGTCTATTGACTCAAATATGGGTGACTGAAAGACAACAGCAGAAGAAAATTGCAAATTATATCTGCAATATGGGTAGACTGTATGTAAAAGATGAACACAGTTTTCAATTGTTGACCAGCTAATAGTCAGGTTATTAAACCTGTGAAAAAAAACAACACATTTCTCATCTTTAGTTTTGTTTTTTTAATACAAATTAAAATAAACCAGAAAAAAATTTGTAGATAAAGGGCAGGCAGCTCATTTCCTGTTTTCAAGCTAATATAATGATCTTGATTGCTGCACTTCACAGACATTAATCTTTAAATATAATGTAACAAAATAGAAAGCCTTTGATTTTGTGAAATGTTGAACTTCTTTTATAAATGTTATTCTTACAGATTCATCTTCACGATGCTGGGTTTTAAATCTCTTAATGATGTTGTAGAAAAAGTCAATGCTGTCTTTGGGCATGATTTCAATCTTCAGGAGCTCCAGCAGATGTTTACCAAAGGGAAAAATCACTGAAAGGAGACAAAAGAGCAGTTGAACAAAAATTAAAAACCTAGCAATACTATATGAGCAAATGGAGTTTGAATAAGGGTCAAAAGGAGGTCATACTTAGGAAAAGTATAGGCCAAAATTTGAAGTTAAGGACCTTCTGGACCTGCACATTCACAGGATCATTTGGATTGTTTATGGAGTCTGTCTCCACGCTGAAAGAAGCACTGGTCACAGTGTCTAAACTGTAAGGAGCCACAAACCTATGAGAATTGGAAAAGACAAGTCAGAGCATTATTTACTATAGGATGAACAATGCAATATGCTGGCATATTAAAGATTAACAACATACTGTTTGACATTGATGGGTTCATCCAAATTTGTTTCCTCAAGTTTAGCAACAAGTCGGTCTGCATAGCGAGCAACAAGGGGATAAACCTTAACAAGGAGATAAAGTAGGAGAATTATATTATTTATGTTTTGTTTGGAATGCATGTCAGTGGGTTTACAGAGACAAAAAAAAAAATGTAGATACTATTTACATCAATGTAACTAACAATGTTGGACCAGAAAGACAGAACTTTTCATAAGACATGAGAGAGAATTTCCTTAAGACAGATGAACAAAATTGGAGTTACAACATAACTGACACATTATATCAACCTGTTTCAGTCTTCCACTGGTGAAGCATGGGGACACGGTGTTCCGAATTCTTTTCCACCTCTCGTCTTTGACTACTGAAACTGCATCATCCAGAGGTCCATTCATAAAACCAGAATCCTGTGAAAATTAAATTACACTTAAAGCTTAAATTTAGCTTCCTCCAGCATCTCCATGTCCAACATCAACTTATGAACTTTGCTGAGATAATGTAATGCAACTGTAATGTCTTTACACCTTTATCTCTAGGTTGACTCTATGGTGTGCATATTATTATTATACATAGAAGAAAGTAAAAAAAAAAATTTTAAAATGTATATATAGAATACATATGGAAATGTATATTGTAATTTTTTTTGTCAAATATATAACTATACAACAAGCTGCAACTTATCTTAATTTAGCACAAAGATTAATAACAAACTAGAATAACAAGCACGTCTGTTCTGTCTGTAATGCTGTTTTTTAATATGTGCATAAGTGAGTACAAATGACAAATTTGAAGAAAAAAAAATACATTTCCCATGTTTCATTAGTACCCACCCGACAAAACCAGGCAGGTTGTCTAACTATTCCTGCTACTGAATGACGGCTAAATTAACACATTCATGCAAATAAACCCACAAAGGTCCCATTGCGTAGGTTTCACTTTGCTATGTGATACAAATGGTCTCTTACCCTGCGGTTGGTAAACACAGTGTAGCACTCCTTCACAGTGACAGTTTTAATAATCTCAGGGTCAGCCACCATTAAAACCGGTGTTCTTGCATCGTACAACCTGCAAAAAGGAGGCATCTAGTCATTTGAGTTAACATTTTGGATCTTCATGCTTCAACCAAAAGAGATTTGCACTTTTTTAAAAACTATTTCAGGTCCAAAGGAGGAACACCTTCATAAAAACAGGAAATATTCCCAATCTTAGTCACGTACAGCTTATTTAAAAGGCACGTAAGTGCAGCTAAGTGTACTTGGATACATGAGTTGAAAACATCTTTCACATGAAGCAACAACTCACCCCCAGATGTCCCCATACTTCGCATGGCACTCTTGGTCAAAAGCAAGAATTCCCTACAAGAAGATGCATGTATGCATGGATGTATGCATTCAAATTAAATAGAGAAGACAGGTACTCATTGTCAGTCATCAGTCAGCTCCTTTTTACTGTAAGGTGAGGTGTATTACTATGTTGGTGTTTGGTTTCCTTACCTTTTTAAAGCCAAGCCCTGTTCCAACAAAAGGGAGAGGCGATGGTCCAGGTATCCCCAGCTTTTTGAAAAAACGATATGGCCAAATTCCATACCTGTGTTACAAAAAAAGAAGAAAAACTGAGATCGATATGACATCAGTTATTATAAACAAATAACTATCACAACTAATAACAAAGCTTGACACCCATTTGTTTCCTTCGCAGAATACTCACAGCAAAAGCAGGGTAAACACGATCGCCAGCAACGTCCAAGTGGTTGGTGAAAATAATGTGAAAAACATTTTAGACTTTCTTCCTGAAAACGCTGGAAAAGGGACTGAGGAAACGCGCTGGGAGCCTGATCTTAAAGCCACTCCATGATGGGAGGAGACTGACAAATTATCAGCTAGGCTGTAAAAAAAAAAAAGAAAAGAAAAGAAAAAAAGAGGTCAGTGGTGGGTCAGTTATCTTTAGTCACCACCTCTGACTCAGCAGGTTTTCCAGGATATCAAACAAAAAATTTGATCAGAAAAAAAGGTTTATATGAATTGCAGCATTTAAATTCACAATAAACAAACAACTTAAATAAAGTAGCAGTTTGGCGCAAAAACTGCTAGTTTTTTAACGCTCAGATGCGTAAATTTGCAATTACACGACCTAATAAACAATTTAAATGTCAGAGTATGGTACTTTTTTCTAATGATTTCCTAATTACACATTTAAAAATAGTTTAAGCCTTTCTTTAAAAACAAACAAACAAACGCGTATTTCGGAAGACTTTTGGGCCTTTTTAGGCCCCATAGTTTGCCCGGAAATACAACCAATGACCCGGGAAGTTAGCTGCGGATGCTAGTTATGCGGCTTGTTTTCTGCCTTTTTTGTTCTTTGTATTATAATCAAATAGAGTGAACCTGTCTTCTGGTCAGAGATTCGGCTGCTTTTAACGCAGTCATAAGGTAAGTTAAAGGTTAGATGCGTGGTTTCCCATTGTGTGCCTGCTGTGACTCTGAAATGATGCATTTTTAAACTGTCCTTGTTCTGCAACGTGAAGCACGGTTGACATTAGCTTTCGTTTAGAGCTTCCATTTACAGCTTTGCATTTAAACCACGCTGAGGTATTTGCTTGTTCCATATTTTTAAATATTTTCCCAACTTTATAACGAAAAGGTTAGACTCTTAATACATTTTATGATTTTTTTTTCTTTTTATAACGGTTTCTGTGTTAAGGGCATTTACTTGTGGGGCGTCAAGGTTGTTTTTAGTTGATGAATCACATACAGCTTAATCTGACCTCAGTAAAACCGTTGGACAAAAACTTACCTTTTCTAAATGTTTGGTAGTATAGTTAACATTTGATATTGGTTCACGAAGCAGATAATTTAGGGGGCAAATGTAGGTTTTGCTAGAAATTTGTCCCGTGCCACTCTATTCATGCACATCACCAGGCTCCTCATTTTGCATTATAACCCTAGTTGTTTCCTGTTATATCATATATAATATATTTTATATCAGAGTATCACTACACAATTAACATGACCCCCAAAATGTACTTTAAGGATGTCATTGCAATATTTACAGTGAATGTTGGAATAAATGAATAATTCAGATGTAAGTCAGATTTATTTTAATTAGCAAGAGGATTAGTATAGGATATTCATAGTGTGCATATTTTATTTATTTATTTATTTTTAATAACTCGCCATTAGTTATAATGGCAAGGTTAGACTCTTAGCAAGTTTTATGTCCACTATACTCCTAATAATTATTTTCCACCTAATAATCCTTACTATATAACTCTGTTGATGTATAACCTAAACATCAAAGATATTTCCCAGATGGAAAAACGATTGCAGATATATTTTAAAAAAGTAAGTTGGTGCAAGGTTAGCAGCTCCAAATATTTTGGAGTCCAGTGTAAACATTCCCAAGTCTAGGTAGCTACTCTGTTCCTTCCGTTTGGTCTTTTTAAAAGGAAAATCTGAATGCAGCATGACGCATGATGGCTTGAATGTGGTCTTTTTATGTTTCATCATTTGCAGCATTTTTTTTCCTTTTTTTAACGGGCTGTGGGTCAGGAGGTAGAGTGGGTTGTCTACCAATCGGAAGGCTGGAGGCTTAATCTCTGGCTCTATTCTGCATGCCGAAGTATCCTTGGGCAAGATACTGAACGCTGAATTGCTCCTGACGCATACTGAGTGTGCCTGTTAGATTAAAGTTAAAATAAAGTTTCCCCTAAATGAAGTTTTATTGGTGAAATAGTGAAGTTTCTCAGTGTAAAGTTGGATTCATAGCAGTATGTAGTTAGCATTATGGGAATTGTTTATTGTATGCTTTTTTTCTTTTCTTTTTTTTTAACAAAACTTGAAAATCCAAACGTCTTAGAAAACTGGTTTGTCAAGCAATTGCCAGTCTGTCCCAACCTTCATTGGATTTAATGGCAGTATAACCTGACAGCTTTCCCTCAATGTACTTTTTATTTTTAGCCCTTTCTCAAAAGAAATCATTTTCATTTAAAATGTTCAAGTTTGTAATCACTTTGTCTTTTGGATATTTTCTGCCAATTTTGAATGTGTCTCTGAAGCCCCGCTATATTTTCACCAAAACCCTTTTGCTGTCATAAATTGTCACCACAGCAGTCCCTAATTTCAGATGTTTTTGTCTTTCACAGAAATAATTTGCCATCATGTTCCTCACCCTCACCCTTCTGCGAAAAGGTATTCCTGGAAAGCAGTGGATCGGAAAGTATCGACGGCCTCGACAGATTACTTGGCAAATGAAACACAACACACTGAAGCAGCTGGAGCGCGAAGCTGAGAACGAGTACTGGATCAGCCGGCCGTACATGACCCAGGAACAGGAGCACGGGCATGCAGCAGAACGCAGAGCCCAGAACTGGCTCAAGATCAAGGAGGCCAGCTTTGCGAATTTTCCTGAACACAAACGCATCACAGATCACCTGAGTCATCTGAGAATCACCAAGAACTGGTCAAGTTAACGTGTGAAGTGACATGCAAAGACTGTGTTTATAGTATAACAATCTAAAACAGTTAATTTGTCCAAAGAAGCCCTGTTTTTGTTTATTATGGCTTATTATTACTGATTTGCTTGTTGTCAACTGAGAAGCCACCTTGAAGTGTTCCCAAAAGACCGTTCTCACTCTCTCTGTTCGCAGATGTTTTGGGTTCGGCTGAAAATGTGACTGGCATTCTTCCTTTCGATGTAGCTGTCTTTGGATAAAATTCTCTTCAAAAGCCACGTTTTATCTGCGCGTCCTTAATTAAGAGCTTAACAACAAAATACACTTTGAGGTTCAGCCTCCCCACTGGTTACAAAAGCTCTTTAACTGAATGAGCTGCACAAGTGTATTCCATGAGGAAAACTGAGAAATTATATAGATTTTCTGGGGCATTTAGGGCGCAATTATGTAACTTTAACAAACAATTGAACACATTTTAATTTGTTGTGACTGTAAAGCCTTTTTGACCCTTTGAAGTTTTATAAGAGTGGGAGGAATATTTTTTTAATCTAAAGGAAATGCTTTGGTTTTATTCACTGATCCTTTTAAGGTATTGTGTTTGTAGGTAATGAGCCTTGTTATTTTATCTACTGCTCTGTAGTCTTGTGATAAGATATGCTTTATGATTCCTGCTATTGCCACAAATCTAAGGCTCTCCAGAGACTCTGGATTATTGGCCCTCATGAAAACTCAGATGCAGCACAACACTGTTGTCTAACAGTGGTTATTGCCATCACATATCAGTAATATTGACAGAACCAATACGTATCTGGAGGAAGAACCTTTTAAGGACATGAAGGAAGGTGTGACCCAAACACAAACTCAAATTACATGCCCTTAAATGGAAACACAGACCTGAGGCAAATTTATCTGTAGTTTACTTTAAGACATCATTCAGCATTTCCAAGCAATAAAGCAGACAATGCATAACACATGCTGTATTTGCCGTGGATATAAGAAATAATTCACTGTATAGTATAAACACCTTTGTTAAAATTCTTTTTTTTACAATGAGGGTTTAAAGAAGTGTCACAAACAATAGTATGAGATGCTGATATAGTTTGTGTTCTACATAAATCTGTGTTTTAGTTAATTGATAGCACTAAAGAAGATACTGACTGTCAGTGAGAGCACAACCAATCTGCACACACGCAGCATTACACTGTTGTCTGATAACAGTTATTGCTTTTATGTAATAATTCATAATTATATCACCAGACAGGTGGAAAAGCCAGCAGGTGACCTGATTATTATCCTTTTAAGGAAAGACTGGAGTAAGTTGTGACCAAATAAAAAAAAGAAAAGAAAGAAAAGCAAACACTGACTCGGAAATCATCTGCCCTTAAATGGAGCCATCAGGCTCATGTACCCACCCCAATGAGGGTTTATCGTCAATGACGTCCACATGGTGAGCATAAACACTTTGATTTTGTGTGCATAATGCCTGCAGATGCTACATGAGGGGTTAAAGTGTAACTGCCAATAATATAAGAAGATAATGTGCTCTGGTTGCTCCTCTCTTTCTATCAATGTGTGCAGGACAGTGAAATAGTAAAACAGCAGGAAGATTCTGCCATTTTCCACCTTTTTAATTGGTGTAGCACAAAACAGCGGTAACCAGAGCTTCTCTGCAGCGCAGGCAGGTTGCTGGTTTCCATAGTAGCCATCCAGTCTGATTTAGACTTGCAACAACAGGCGAGCCCAAACTGTGAGGACAGAAAACCTGCAGCCCTCACCTGCAAACCATTCATGACGTCATTCTTTCCACCTAAACTGTTTTAATTTCGATGGAAATGTCACTGCAGGATTTGTTTTCTTAGCCTGTCTTAGTGTGGCCAACTACGAGTCCGAAATAATTGAGCAAGATTTATGAGGCGATGAAAAAAATGTTCTAGAAAGAGCTCACGGCAGTAAACAAAGAGGAAACCACAAAGTTCAGCATTACTGTTCCTACAAATTAACTGACCAGAATTCTCCTGGGGAGATTTTAGGAAGGTTTTTTCTTAATTTAATAACACCTGCAAACTTATAAGAGAGGTTAAACCTCACTGTTTGAGATCTTTTTGACTTTTACATCTAAAAAAAACCAAAAAAACTGAGGGTCTTTTGAGAAGATTTGTCCTAATTCCCATGGTCTATTGTTGTAGTCTTTGTAAGATTTTGTGTCTATTAATGCATATTTTATGTTAGTTGGGGGGTGGTGTCTGTTTGGAGGTCATTTTCAGTTCTTTGAGGTTATTTTTGAGTCCCTTTGCAGTTGCCTTGGCCTCTGTGTGGATATTTAATTTATTTTCCAAAGAGAAATATGACTTCAAAACGTCTGTCCTAGGGGTTCCATTTCGCCTTTGGCCATCGGAGTTGTGCTTGTCGGGTTCTTTCATTTGTTAATCCCCGCGTGACTTAAACGCTCTTAGTTACACTACTGCAGTTTGTTGAGAGCAGGAGCCACTGCGAACTTTCAGTGTACGCATAATTATGTCCAGCAGATGGAGCTCCAGGTCCTGTTAGTAACACCAGTCAATAACAGCCAACCCAGAGTCTCTCCTCTCCTCTCCTGGATGATGAGGTGCGTAAAGAGGCGCCAACGCACCACACCGGGCTTGAGAGGTAGCTAATGAGCACACCAGACAGCCAGCCCCTGTCCAAGAAATCCGCTCAGAGCCGGAGACACCATGAAAACAAACTGCAGATTGCGGAGTAACGATTCACCTGCAGACGACTGAGTGAAGCGGCAGGATGGCGGGGGGTCGGAGGGGACTTGTGGCCCCTCAGAATACTTTTTTGGAGAATATTGTCAGACGGTCGAACGGTAAGGATGATGCGATTTAAACATTAAAAATGAACTCTACTCTGTTTTGGAAAGCTAGACATAATAAATGCCTCGACACAGTCAACTAGTCTAATTAACTAAATAACGAGGAGGGCTAATTAATTAAGAATCCTTTATTGAGATTTTTTAAAGTAACATTTTTGTGATCTTTTTACCAGGAGGGGAAAAACTACTGGGTGTTAAACATTCTGATTAATGTTTCTAGTAGGACTGTCAATATCTCACTCATGTATTTAGAGTAAGCATATTCATCTTTAAAATGATTTCATTTTTTCACTTTCACTTTTTCACTGTGTGCATTACAAGCATTAAATGTACTACTGATTACATAAGACCATTGGAAATGTCCAAGGAAAGACTGTATGGCTCAGAAATGTCTGGCATGATACTTATTTCTACAGTTTTCACATAAATAGATTATCAGTATAATATAGAGAGTGAAAAGTCCTGCTTTTGATAGCATTCACTTTAATTTCCCTTTAAGTTACAGGTCAGTTTGAAATTTAGCTGTTGGGATTTTATTATCAACATCTGAGGCATTATTATTTATTAAACTAAATCTAAAAATGTATCCAAAAGTAGTTGACATTTGTCCAAACATAATCCTAATAGTAATTTTTATCATGTTCACTTTTCTTCATGGAGTCTGGAAAGCCTTGCACCATGTTGTAACTGGTGCTATGAATCAGTTAATAAAGAGGATTTAGGCTTTCTGTTATACCATTTTGAGTTACATTTCACTGAAAGAAAACACACAGACCAGACTTCTCAGGAAAAACATATGAACTAAAATTAAGATTCTTTCTTTTTTAAACTTATAGAGACAAGTGGGATTTGTTAAGCCAACTGTTCTGGCTTCAGTAAAAACACAGAAAGTAGCTTTTCTGTGTTTTTTAGATCCAACAGGACGTGACAGCACGGACTGGAGAGTTGACAGCTAGCTGTGACAGAGAACCACCTGCGTTTGTTGCCTCTGTCATGAGACACATTTTGGGAAAATTACTGGATACGTACTATCTTTATGTTTTTGTTTTTGTTTTAAATAGGGGTTCACACATGTGAAACCACCATGTTTCTGTGCATGAACTCTCCGCCTCACTGTCAGTCTGCTCCTGCTGCACATATCTACATTTAAATGTGTTATGACAAACAGGGAGCAGCCTGCTCAGAGACAGTGACAGCATCTCTTCACAGTGAGGCTGGCTTTACAGCGTGATGTCTGGATTCCTAAGCTGTATAATATATTTAAGAAAATCCACCCGTTAAAAACAAAAGCAGATACATATGTTTTTCTTATGACCTTAGGCAGCCCATGATGGATTAGTGAGCGGTAAATCTCTCCCAAGCTTGAAACAAAGGAGCCGAGACTATAATCTGCTGGATGCCACTGAGACAGTGGTGGGTGGGCATTCGCAAACAATGAAATATTCCTTTTATGTACCAGTCATTCATTTTTAAATAGCTAGCTTTGTGCTATATTTTGACGACAGCGTTCAAGACAACTTTTTGATTTTCGTGCCCAGCAGTTCACCACCTACTTTGACTTTTAAATTATGCAGATATCTTCTCTTCTCTCACTATACTTACACTCCCCATTTAAACCTGTCAAACATTTTTCTCAGCACTTGTCTTAAAAGGAAACGAACAGTCACAAAGAACAGCACTGATGGCTCAATTACACATGTCAGTAACTTAAAAAGGTACATATTATGCTCATTTCCACCTCTGTATTTTTATTCTGGGATTCCACTAGATTAGCTTTGCATGTCTCAAAGTTTAAAAAATGTCTTCGATATACCTGTTTTATATGTTGCCCCTGAGTTCGTCCTCTTGTCCAAAACAATCTCTAGATTTCTTTACTAAAGTCTATTTTCCTCTGATTGGCTGACATCTCGAAGCCTGCCGAGGGGCAGCACTGACAGTTCTATGTGCTGCCCCTGTAGAAGACGACTGTATAGAAACATCACATGGGAAAAAACAGACTGAAGCCTGAGATTCTGGCTCATAGAGATTAGAGATCATTGTTTGAAACTTTTTCTCCCAAAATTTGGTTCATAGTAACAACCTGCATACGTCTGTTTACTTGTCTTTTCAAATGACAGTATACTAACAAAAAAATATAAGATAGGCACGGTTGAAGAAACAGCTGAAACAACGTCAGATTACATTGATATTAGTGTTATATTTGATACTGTAATATAAACTTACCTTGTCTTTTGTAGAACATAGTCATGTTAGCTATACATTTTATTTTGTATTTATGTTTTTCTGTAGCAGTGTTGTAGAAGAGTGTATGTAGTCCAGGCATTTTAAGAGCACTGAGCAACACTGATAATGTTACACTATATTTGCAACTCATCCAGTTATGTGCAAATGCAATGCTGGCATTACTTTAGGTGCTTTTACGGTTGGTCCCACATAAAATAGGGTAAAGCATAACAGGTCGCTTTTATTTGTTTCGAGTAAAGGTGCCACAAAAGTGTCCTGGAAACCTCGAAAACTGTTACAATGCATCTCAGAAATTAGTATAATTATAACCAATCAACAAAAACAGAATGCTACCAGTTCAGGCCCAGCTGATGATCAGCTGTTAGAATGATTATTCAGCTGCTGAAACAGCTGCTGTTGTTTATGGTAGTGCACTATCAGGTTATGCAGTTGCCATTCTGTTATACATTTGCCACATTTTATCGAATTAAACCAAAATGCTTATTTTTAGGACCTCCATCAAGAGCTGCAGCACATTTGACTCTAACGAACTTACCACATTTAAAGTCACTTAAAATACCTTTCTTTCCCATTTCGATGTTCAGATTGAGCTTTGTCAGGTCATCTTGACCATGGCTGCATTCCTAAATATGTCAAGTTGCTGCCGATTGGCTGATTGGATATTTTTGTTAATGAGCAGTTGAACAAGTGTAGCTACTGAGCGGGGCAATGGGTGTATAAGTGAAGCTGATGTTAGCTGAAGAAAGTTGAATCCATTAGCAGCTAAAGTGGCAAATATTTCTCTCAGAAGTTATTAAAGATGAAATCAAAGCTTAAAAAAATTGATCACAGGGTTATAAATGTGATTAAGTTTGCATGCTTGTTTCTGTTTTTATCTGCACTCATGTGGCCACTAATGTGTTAACTTAATCAGAATAGTTTTTTTTTTCAGATAGTTGCTTTAAATGTCTATCAGCAGCTATTCAAGTTAAACACAAGCGTGTCTCTGTTTGTTTGACATTCAGTGCATGTTTCTCTCTGTAATCTGTTAACCCTCTTTTCTTTTCAAACATTTCAGTTTGGACACTGTCACATAGGCAGACAGGTACTATGAAGTTTAATTTGGCGTGCTGCTCATATTCCCCCCGTCAGTGTCTCTCTTTTTGTAATGTAACACTTAATGTTCTAGACCAAATGCTGTTAATTTACAAAGCTCAGATCTGAAATGTTTGCTGCAACCCATTAGTGAGTTAACAGATGCCTCCTTTTATGCCTCCTTCCTCCCAGGATCCCAACATTAACATGTGTTCACTGCAAAATAACATGTTGGCATGAAATGTTCTGTGCATCGTCCCCATGCTTTTAGTGATTATTCATGTGTTTTTGTGTTTAGATGTGATATATAAACTGTGTTTTGTGACCCAGTGTTTTGAATTCCTTCCCTCCTGCTCCTTTACCTCAGTGTTGTGACATTGTTATAGTCTATGCCTGTATGTTTAGTTTTTCATGTTAGCTAAAATCACTATGTCCACTACTACATAGTATGTTTTATTTTATTATGTTATCCATAAAAATCACCAAAATCTTCCTTTGTTTTTGATCCCTGTAGAACATTGTGTCATTGTGTGAGCTAGCTTGCAGGCATTATATGCGTAATGTTTTGCGCATTTTATATATCAAAATGTGCATATGCACAAGTTATTTCATTTGTCATTTAAATGCAAATGTTATTTGTAAAAGTGACACATATTCATGTTAAAATTTGTCTGAGTTTTTCAAAGTTTCCCAGAAAAACCCACTGCAGTCATTTGCACAATGTAGTACTTTATCTCGGTTTTTTAAAATGTCCCCTAAAATAAAAAAAATAGCAAATCTATCTGTTTATTTAATGTATTACGACATGAGTAACAGCTTGAGTAGGCTAATTATATAACTGCTGACAGGTTGAAAAAAGGATGGAAGCAAGTACGCATGCGAGTCTGGTTATTTAAGCTTATTAACATTTAGCCACAAATACGTTTTGCTCTGAATAATTCAAAATATGCCACATGATAACAAATGTGTTCTATTCTCCATAAAGGGTAGATACAGATATTTACAGTTTTCTATATCTATAAATTAATGGCAAACATAACTACTTTTTCACACACACACATTAAGCAGCCAATTAGGCCTGTTACAAACTCTACATAGGTAAATATAAAAAAGCAATGAAAACCTGTTTTTGCACTGCCAAGGAGCAAGTTAATGAAGCAGATAGTTGGATGCTTTCTGCATAAGCAAAGAGTTTACGTTTGGTTACATTTGTTTACACTTGCCCTGAGTGTTTAATGAGCCGTAGGCGACCGTGGACTCTAATAAAAATCTTTAAACTGCTTTAAGTCACCAACCTTTTTAATGATAGATATTACTAAGATAAACATATGCTTATAAAATAGAAAGAGAGATACAGATATAGATGGATAGTGGTCAATAACTTTTTTACTTTTTCAGTTTAAGATACAGGTCTTTTCCCTTACCCTGTAGTTGAAGTATGTTACACTACAATGCTATTTTTAGGAAATGCTGCGAGTTATTTGCCCTTTTTATTTCCTGTTCACTCTAAAACAGATACCAACTTTGTCCTGGGAAATGCTCAGATAGTGGACTGGCCCATCGTCTACAGCAATGATGGTTTCTGCAAGCTGTCGGGGTATCACAGAGCAGAGGTGATGCAGAAAAGCAGCACCTGCAGGTAGGCAAAAGGGAACTCTATCTATTAATATATTGTACGTTAAAAGCTAAAAACAAGAAACTGTCATACGTATTTAAATTTATTAAGAGAATTTCAAGAACACATCACAACATAAACATTAGCTTTGTTCATTTTAACAATTATTTGTTAATTACAGAGAAGTAATGAACTAAAAACTAAAAGTTTAACATAGCCTGGCTCTGGGTTGGCAAAACCTAAAACTACATCATGTAAAAGGAGGGCTTAACATGTAATTTGGCTATTTTTCAGCACATAATTGGTAGATTAATTAAGAGCTGTCTTCATTCAAAGACATCATTAGAATGAGTGCCAGGGATGTATAAACCAGTCGTACAAATACGCCAAGAGAGCAGCCCTACACATTAGATTTACTTCAGACTTGATCTATTTGAATGTTATGGGCTGCTATAAGTGCAGTTAGGTCCAGCAGTCAAACAACTAAACGTGTGCAAATTCCAGGGATACTTGATACTGTTTGCACTGCTGTGATTTCTTTCTTCTAACGTACAGCTCCAAAAGTTGCACGTAAAAATGTATTCCTTCAGCAGAATGGTTTTTTTTTACATTTACAGTACTGAAAATTCAAAGAATCAGTAAAAAAAAATTGGAGCTTACAGACGATTTTAACCCAACACTGAACACGAACCTGGCCTAGAACAAGGTAATGTACTGTATTGTACTGTACTACTGAAAACTTTAAATTTAGACTCAAAATACTTCATTAAGCCCTCAAGCATTTAGTTGTTATGGCACTAACTTTTTTTTACAGCTGTTTCTCGTCAATGAATAAATAAGATTGTTCAGTGACACTTTGAGAACATGTTATGGCCGCTGCTGTCTCGATGAGCTCCTGGCAATGCTAAAATATTCACACTTTATGTTTAATCAAGTTAGTTTAAATTTCTCCATTAAAAAGAAATGTGTGGAGCCCTCAATTAGATCCTTTCATCACATAGGTATGGTATTACTTTGGGTCCTGTGATTAAAAGATCTATATGGGGTTGGCACTGTTTGATCCGACATCAGACAGTTTAATATGTAGTTTTGTCACAATAGGAGCCAATTTTTAGTTATGGATGCAGTTACTGTGAATTCCTTTGTTTTTATGCATTTACACCTTCTACCACCAAGCAGAGCGCGCTGATGTTGTGAGGTGGGAAAGCCTTATTTAAGGAGGATAATGTAATCAGTAGTTGCTTGTGATCCGAAAGATCTGCCTTTAATGAATATTTGGAGTTATTTTAATTGAAATGGAAAATATAGCCTATACTGCAAATAGTCCCTACATGCCACAACTGACTATATGTAGTGTTTTCAGATTGAACTTCTTCGCAAATTTGCTTGTTAATTACCAGAATAAGAGGAACATTCACCCATCAGCAGTACATGCAAATGTTTTTTCTGTTATTTTTTTAATGAAATAGCAAGAAGTGCTTCTGGTCAGGTGCAGCGTCTGCAGTAATGGGATTTGTTGTTCAGTACAGTGAAGTTGTACTTGAGGTACATTTACATATTCCAGATCATCTTATCACTTTAATTAAACCTTGATAACCTGAGTAAACACAAAGTGCACACTCTAAATGATATTTTCATTTATTAGGGGGTTAAAAAGCTATCCAAACCTGCCTGTGTGAAAATTTAACTGCTCTTTTAACAACTGGTTGTGCCATTTTTGACAACAAGAACTGCAATCAAGTGTTTGTGACTGGCCGTTTTTCACATTGCTTTGGAGAAATTTTTGCACATTGTTCTTTAGACAATTGTTTTAATTCAGCCACACTGCAGGATTGTCAAGGTGGACTTTCTGGTGTTTTATGGATTATTGTCCTGCTGCATAACTCGAGTGTGCTTGAGCTTCAGAGCATGAACTGATGGCTGGACATTTTTGGCAAATGTGAGGCTCTTTGTTCTTTTTGGTCAGCTTTGGAGCTCTTCCATAGATGCTATTTTTGCCCAGTCTCTTTCTTATTGTTTAATCATGGACACTGATCCTAACTGAGGGTGAGGCCTGCAGTTATTTAGATATTCTGAGTTCTTTTGTGACCTCATGGATGAGTCGTCAGTGTGCTCTTGGAGTAATTTTGGTAGGCTGGTCTCTATGAAGTGTTCTCCAGTTGTGGATAATGGCTCCCACCGTGTTTGCTTCCAGTCCCAAATCCTTAGAGATGGCTTTGTAACCCTTTCCAGACCAAGAGATTACAATGACTTTTATATTGAATTCTTTAAATTCTGGCATGATGTGTTGTGTTTTGAGATCTCTTAGTGTACTTCACTTTTAAGTTTTCTTGATTCAACAGGTCTGCCAGTAATCAGTGCTGGGTGTTGCTAGTGAAACTGAACTTGTAATAATTTGTAAACAAAAAGTGTGACAAACATGCAAAAACCACTACTGCTGTTCCTCCTGCATTATAACCTAAAGGATCACCAGAGTTTATTTATGTTTAATCCGGTAGGAGACATGACCTAACACTCCCAAACATAAATGCCAACTTCAATGACACATTTGTAGGAAAAGTCAGGGGATCAGAACAGATTTCATGGCAATATTGGTGGGATATTTCAGTCTGGGCCAAATTGCTGGGCTTGACATGGGATTGATAATGCTGTCTATAAAGCCGCGTCTCTAGCAGGGCTGAAGAGCCGAGTGATCAGTTTTTGATTTATTTGTCACAAATTCAAACCTAAAAATACAACTATCAGCTTAAACCTAACAATTAAGATGTGGATACACAGTTATTAGTGACACTGTGGGGCTAACTTTGCTATGTCAAAGGCCTGGCTTTATACGAGACCCAACTGACAGGAGAATCAATTCTTTTTGCCAGAGCATCTCACCAGAGGAAGTTCAAATTACACAGACCACTCAATTAGATCTGATATGATATTCCCATAGTTAAACACAGTCTAGCAGATTGTTTTGGGGTTTTTTGCACCGCCACAGAGCCGGAAACCAGACACAAATCTGTGATGTAATCAGCTTTATAGACAGCATTATCAATGAAACTGCCTTTGCATCACCGACTATAATGGTAAACCTGTAGATATACATAAACATAAATGAATAAAAGGTTATTGGAGTGAGTAAATCATTTCAGGACTTGTGTTTGTTGTGCCTACAATAAGGATGCCACTAACCACCATATTAATAGGATCCCAGTGAAACAGTTGGTGCTGCCAAATCTGAAAAACGTGGGAGATTTCATCTGTTGCGGGAGATGGTGTTTGTTACAGCCAGCACTGCGGCTATTACTGATTTAGACCCTCGGGTGCCCAAACATAAGCTGCAGAGCACTCGCCAATACAAATATTAAAGCCAATGTGTAATGGTTTGTTGTGGTTTAATATCAGGTGAGTAAATCAAGTGCAGGCTTCTGTTTGAAAGAGGAAGACAAACAAACTTAAAATCTCCCAAATGTCTTTGATGGAAAGCAGAAAACGAGTGAGGGAGGAAATCTGATAATTAATAAATCACTAATGCGTTATTTCTGCAATAGGTAGTAATGAATTGTAGGAGAACACACTGAGAGATATATTCATCACTAATTACTTAATTATTGTGGTGAAAAGATCATACTGAGCACTTACTATCAAACGGCTCACAAGAGTGAGGATGAGCGTAAAAAGAGGAATCGGTGATTAGTAGTTATCAGTGAACGAATTAATGGAACAAAACATTTCCGTATATAAACTTGCATTTCTCTATTTCTGCATTTTATTGGTTATTCCTGTTTCTTTGTAGCTACACTTCTTCACACGTTTATTCCTGTATTTCTTTGTGGGGATTTCTTAAGTCTAAAGCAGGATCTTGGTGAACTAAACAGAGGCAAATAATTGCTATTAAATATGTATGACAAAAGCCAACTGCTGACCTATTAGCAACACCCAATAGGGGCTGTTTATAGGCCTTATAAAATCACAGGGTAAGCATTTTGTGAGGTAGTCTTGCTGTAGGGAGATGTTAGGAAAGCGGCACACACTAGCATCGCCTCCTTTGTTTGAGATTATTTTTTCGGTTATTATTATTTTATAGTTATCAATATTTAATTTATCCCGAGAGAAGGGATTTGAAACCTTGAGTAGTGGTGGAAATTTTGAAAAATATCATCAACTTTAATGCTTTTTTTACAGTTTTTTGTGGCACAAACACTATTAGCGTGGGAAAAAGAAGAAGAAGAAGAAGAAGAAGAATAGATTTCCTGGTGCTTTACTGCTTTGTCAGAAGAATCTCTAAAAACGTCTAATTTTATCATGTTAAATGGGGCATTATTCTTACACGAAGAAATACTTTAAAAAGTTACATTAAACACAAATAATTAAGGAAAAAAAGATATTATTAAAAAACAAAAGACTTTCAGGTTGAAACTACAGTTTCTTGTGCCAACCTCTCTTAAATATATATATTTTAACTGGCATTGAAAGACATAATTACAATACTCCAGCTGTATAAAAGGCTATTATGACCACAGTAATAAAGTGATTTTCCCATGGCAGTGACTGTGAAAGCAGAAAATTTGATATATCTCAGCCCTCAACATGGTCATAAAGGCTGAATCTGAGCCAAGCAAGAAGCAAAACAAAAACCAGCTATTTCATTAAAACCCGGCAGCGCTGGAGTTACTGCCAGTGTTTAACTGCTTATGGAAGATAACTATACAACACTGTCTTTTTATGCATTGCTGTATGTTAGGAATAGAGTCACTGGCTATATACTCAGCAGCTTACACAGTTCTCATGTTAATAATTCATATATGCTGCATTTCTTTACATGAGTCGATACTCTGGGGGTTTTTTTGGGGTTTTTTGGGGTTTTTTTTAGCTGTGCCCATTGGTTCTCTACTGGAAGATCACTTTCCAGATCAATTTTATTTTTTAATCTGAACCATTTAAAAAAAAACAGTCATTTAGGTAGTAGCCACTTTCTCTTCAGACATATTCCGGCACCTTTAATCATCCTGGTGTTTAAGTTATTTTTATTTGATGTAAAAAAAATCAAAAAAATCCTGTGCCTTATTATGAGCTCATAAAACATTCACATTATGGATTTTTAATGTTTTTGAAGATGACTCAAACATAAGATGTATGCTCATTTCTCCAGAGTCTAATAACGAGCTCTTTTTGCACATCAGTTACATCCTTCTATAAACACACATGATGATGATGATGAAGTGATTTGAGGAATTGCTTTTACATATTCTTCTTTGAAGAATGTCATTCTCCTCCCCGCACAGGGGAAAGACGGGAGGTGTGAGATGAGGACATTCGTCACTGATGTTACATCAAGCGCTGGTCTGAAAAGTCTCTGCAGCATCAGAATTTAGTCTCATTAAATTTAGCCTTCCTTTTGTATTTCATAACAGACTATATTTAGATCACGCTGGAGCAGGCTGCTACTGAGGCTGGCACTAATAAGTAAAGTGAGATGAATGTCTCTGTAGTGTGCTTAAAAGTGTTCGTGGTTGCTTAACCCATCTTCAGGTTTAATTTGCATTTGGCCAATGAGCATCCAGGGCTGCATTTGTCTTTTTATGTTTTCAGGATACATTTATATGAATTTTAACCCACTTGATATTTTACACAGCTTGGTCTGCTTAGTTTAGATATCATTTTTTATAACTGAGGTGAAACTGAGAGGAAATCCTGACCGAGGCATGATTTAAAGGTAAATGCAGTGACACAAAAAGTTGTCAAAGCAGTGCTTGATTTTAAGCCAACAGAACAAAATCTCACAAGGTAATCTAACACTAAAGATATTTTCCCATTCAAACCTTTCTCGCCACCCTTTTAGTAAAAGAGAGAAAGCTGCTTCTCTTTTAAGATTTCAAATTGTTATTTCCCTTTGTGTTTTCCAGCTTCATGTATGGGGAGCTCACAGACAAGGACACGACGGAAAAAATGCGACTAACATTTGAGAATTATGAGATGAACTCGTTTGAAATACTGATGTACAAGAAAAACAGTGAGTAGCGACTCTACATGCGAGAAAAGAGAAAACTTCCACCGTCTCCTCATCATGCAAATGTATTCAGAGCCTCTGTAACATACAGCAGAGTTCAAAGGCAGCCAAGAACATTTCTACCTCTAGAAATGTACTAATTGGTTGAGAGCCAGACCAGAGGAGCCTTCCTCAGCAAAATGTGGCGTTGTTTGTTTCCTGTTGCTGGTGTAACATGCAAAGTTTTGAAAGGCCATCAAGATTCCTACTATGCTATATGCACACTCTGATTCTTTCCCTTTATAAGAAGCAGCAGATGAAGCTAAATGTGTGCTGTTCTTTGTACTTTCAGGGACGCCTGTTTGGTTTTTTGTGAAGATTGCTCCCATTCGTAATGAACAAGAAAAAGTGGTCCTGTTTCTCTGCACATTCAGCGACATCACAGCCTTTAAACAGCCTATTGAAGACGATTCTTCCAAAGGTTAGACTCTGGGAAAATTTAATTTGTTTAACTTCACATTTTTATCAGACAGGGTGAGAGGAGGTAAAATGGGAGAAAAAAAGAATGTACATCCATACTTGGGCGCCACATGAGTCTGTAAAATCCTGTTAGATCTATTTTTCCACTACACACGATAGACCCGTATGATCTACTTCAGAGGTAGAAGTCAAATCAGTCTGCCTGCTTTCACCATTCACCAGTCAAATGTGCCTCATCTTCATAGTTATCAGTACACAGCACAAAAAGTTATTCACTGGACTGTATGAGTGTTAGACAGATAAAATAAGATAAGATAAGATAAGATAAGATAAGATAACCTTTATTAGTCCCACACGTGGGAAATTTGTTTTGTCACAGCAGGAAGTGGACAGTGCAAAAGTTATGACGCAAAAATTAGAATA